TTAAGAAATATAAAATAAAAATTAAGTGGTTATTTTAACTGGATTAGCTTACATTCAATTTATTAGAAATGGGTTATAAATTACCCCCTTACTGCATTTCCTTTACAATTTTTTTGTGGTAACTACCAGATAAGATTCTTTTGGAATGCAGTCAGGATTTGCGTAACAGTGTGGTGTTCCCAGGTATAGTCAGAGCAGCTGATAAGTCTTGTTCTTTTAGGACAAATGAAAAATTGCAATGTCTCAAGATTAAGAATAGAACCTTTTAGAAAAGTCTTGAATTACTGCATTTATACAAAATATAAAGTCAATATTAACACTGAGATACGATGTAGAGAAGAGAGCCTGTCCAACAAATGGTTTTGGCCATCTGCTCTGGATTCAGTGTGAAGTTTATAGAGGAGCTACGCTGCTCTGCTGTACAGTCTGTTGACTGGGACTTAGCAGAAAAGTGGATGCTCTTACATGCTTTTTTGGTGATCTTGTCGAATAACTTCCTCGCTCTGTTTCAGTTTTTCTCTCACGGCAAAATGCTCCTCTGTGAAGGGATTTGAAATCTTGCAAAAGCTAGATAATACTGTTGGGGCATGACTTTTCAGGAATTACCAAGTACACAGTCTTGGAAGTCAGCAACATGAGATACTGGATCAATGGTCATTTTTTCAATTTTCTGTCTTTTTACTGCTATGAAAAACAGTGTTCATTTACCTGTTTTGTGTAAATTCCTTGAGTTACTTTGTCAGTTTTTATGAAACTTTGAATACACAATTCACCATTTTAGTTTATGATAACTTGCATGAAGATAAATTTTTGTTGGTAAGAGAAAAGTATTTTTACTTTTACAAGTAGGATTTTGTTCATGATCATCCAATGGATTATTTTTATTATTGTTTGTAACAAAAAAATAAGAGAGTCTCTAGAGGTGTGCCTGTTTAACAGTACTCACAAGGGATAGTTGAGATTGGAAAGGAGCTCTGGCGATCAGCTCAACTAGCCTCTCTTCTCAAAGCAGGATCAACTACAGCAGGTTGCACCAGACATCCTTCAGTTGGGGTTTGAATATGTCCAAGAATATTCAATTCCACAATGTCTCTGAGCAACCTGTTCCAGTCTTTGACCATCCTTACTGTAGAAAGAAATGTTTTTTCTTAAATTTAAATTGGCTTTCTTGTAACCCAGCTTGTGCCCATCACTTCTTTCATCTGTTCACTGGATAACACTGAGAAGAGTCTGGCTCCCTCGTTTTTTACCCTGTCGCACCAGGCATTTGATTTTATTTGAATTATTTGTTTATTTAAAAAACTATCTCCAAAGATGATGATGATATCAATAAGGTTAAGAAATTAAGAGGAGTGTTTACTGCTTGAAATTGTCTTAATTCTACTCCACCTAATTCTACTCTACTCTTTCCAAATTGTGATGGTTTACTACTACTCCTATATTTGAGTTATTCTCTTGTTTCTATTTTGGCTAGTTGAAATGTGTGTGTCAGTCATTACTTTGTAAGAGAAGTACTAGGTCAAACAAATATTTTCTTCTCTTGAGAAAGATGCTTTATCAGTGAGTTTATTTTTTTTGTTTATCTGTTATTTTTTAAAAATCCTATCTTTAGTCTCATGATTCCTGCCTTCTGCTGTCATCTTCTCTGCCCAGTATGCACAGTCAACTATTTAAAGATCATATACCTTTTCTCATATTTCTTTATGGTTCATCAAAAATTTATACTGAAATAATTTTCTTGGGGGGAAAAAAGCCGATTTGAGACAATAGAAACATCTATTGGAAAGTTTTGATTCCATTGAAATTAACAGGAGCTATATTGGCTACTTGTTGCCTTGTACCTGAATAGTTGCCAAGAAAACAGCTAATGTGATCTGTAGGTGGGAATGTCATGAATGAGCAAGCTGCCTACCTTCTCAATTTACAGCAAGAAATTTCTGATTTTTGCTGGAATTCCCTACTGAGCAGGAACTCTGAATTACAAGTTAAATATACACTGCGGTTCTATATACTTCGATTTGCATATGCTAATATTTATATGAACTTTTCATTGAGAAAACACAAGGTCTTTAAAATTTCTGTAACTCCTTAGGTAATTTTTTTATTGTCAGGAAATATATCTAAAATGATGACGGTTAATTTATTGAGTAGATGCTCACCTTGACTATCCACCAATGGGAATACAGGTGTTGCTTTTGACACGTCAATAAAACTTTAAGGTTGAGTGTTTTGGAGGCCTTGTGTCTTCTTGACACTTCTCTGCCTGTTTTGTTATTAACTCCTTTGAGAGTCTGCCTTTCGGTGCCTTGTCCCTCCTCCAGGCTGAGGAGTACAGCTTTTACCCTCTGCCATCTGGGCTAGATTTTGACACTTTTTCCTCACTGCTTTCACAAAGACTAGGTTTTTTGTGTGTTCTTTTTCCTCCTGTTTTTCATCTGATTTTTGCTGTGGTATGCTATTTTATTATAAACAAATACCTAGTATGCTTTATTCATTTAAGGGTCAATAGTTTTTGTGTACTAGCACTCTTGAAAGTATTTTGTATACTGTATCTGTCAGCAAGCCTTACCTTTAGCATATACCTTGTTTTATACTTAGTTTGTAAGTAAGTTATAAGGGTAGTGTGGATTTCTAATGGGACTACTTCTTTTTTTTTTTCACAATCTTTAGGCTGCTTGGGACCATTTGCACTTGTATTCTTCCTGAAATCCCTTCCTGATTAGACTTTCCAGATAAATGTTTACCTTTATGTGCCTTGGACGTTTCTTTTTTTTTTTTTTTTGGTCCTGTACAACTATACACATACGCTCTTTGTTTTCTTTATTCTATGTCTTTTGCTGACTTTGGTCTCTGAGCCTTTCTTTCTCCATGTTCAGCTGTTCACCACTAACTTTTAAAGTGTTTTTCAGCAGCACTAGGATCTTCTTAATCTCAGAAATAGCCCTGAGCAAAGCTTAGTTAAATCTGTTTTTGTGGCTGATAAAGCAGTTGTCATGACCTTCTTGTCTTTTTCTCTGTGAATAGTCTTGTGTACAGGATCTGCTGTGTCATTTATAAAGATTGCCTCTCACTGGAGTGGTTTTTTATCTGAACTTCAAATCATTTAAGCAAAACTGTGACGAGGACTTTCTTACTGTCAGCTGTCTGAGTAATCGTTTCAAAGTTCATGCAGTTCTTTAGGTCACCTTTTTTGTGTAGTGTCATTCCTCAGTGTCGGAAATATTTTTTTTTTTTTCCAGATACTGTTACACAGCACCTACAATTCTGCAATTGGTTCCCTCTTTCTTCTTTAGTTTATCTGTATTTAAAAATGAATACATAAACAAGTAGCCTACTATGTTACCAGTGATGACTTGCCTTTTGAGATCTATGTGACAAGACGGAGCCATCTAAGATACTTTAAAAAAGAATATTCATGCCATTTCTTTGGATTAGTGTGCACCACCAGTCCAAACTAATCGGTAACACAGACTGCTGCTGCATAGGAGTGACTTAAATTCCAATCCAGAAATGTTCGCCTACCTCAAATGAAAAAAGTTGAAAATCTAGCAGAAAATTCAAGTGTGCTCTTGAAGACAGGTTGGACAGTTTGGTCAGTCATTTACTGCCTAATCTCTCTGAGTAATGGTGAAGTTTTCTATGTGGTCTGGGACTCCCATGTTTACCATCAACAGTAGGCATGTAGACAGCATTAAAAGCTTCTCAAGCCTTTGTTTTGCTGGGCTAAATAGTCTGTCATTCTACTGAGCGTTTATATTTTATGTGCCTGCTAGTTCGAGTTTGTCTTTCTGGACGTGTGTGATGATAGTAGCATGCTGTTTACATTTTTATTTAGATCTTGTCAGCTCCTTGTACAAGAGGTCTGAAATTTCTGCATGGTTGATCCTAAATTCTTATATTAGGTAGTTTATCTGTTTTCCTGAGGCTCAGTATTCCATGGCAAGCAAAACTTTGCCAAATGTGCTAAGCTTGCAGCTTGTTTGGTTTTGTTTTTTTCTTTTTTTAAATCAGGTAAGATTAAATGTGGGGTAAACCCTAGAATATTACATTGCAGTATGCAGAAGACAGCTGCCAACTGGACAAACACCAGGCAGATGGGATGCACAGTGTATGTGGTACTGGTATGTCCTAGCAAAGACTAAGTACCATTCTCAGAGGGCAGTTTTTTTCTACCCAGGATAAACTGCCCTTGAGCCCGTCTGTGAAGCCAAGCAGCTAGAATTTATTCTATGATTTTTATATGCCTGGGTTTCCAACTCTACATGAAGTCCAGGTTTAGTAGGATTTGCTTTCAGTCAATAAGTGAATCATTCATTACTTACCAAACCAGATGGCATTGTTGTTTGAGGTATGTGGTTCATGAAGACTGGAAAATCTGTTCTGCATCCCTTTAGAAGAACTCCAAGTACTCCCACATAGGATTTAGTTTTAGCAAACGTGCCCAAGAGGATACATACACACATTGTCCCTTTTCTTTGGGCTCTAATGACTGTTGATTTTCTCAGGACTTGAGTTACTTTGCTGTTAAGGGAAAATGTGCTCTCTTGTGCTTGTGCTGAATGAAATCCCCATAGCCTGAGTGTGTGGAAAATCACATTTTAGTTCTGTGAACTGTTCCTTAACAAAACAATATATAATATCCTTTCTGTTTAGTTTTTTTTTCCTTTATCTTAATAGAATGCTAGACTATGAATTAAAAGAGCCATGTAATTAAAGTTTTTCTGCTTGAAGTAATCCTGTTGAGATTCATTTTGGTGGCCTTTTCATGGCCAGGTTTATTTTTCCAGAGAAATAGTCTCCTTATCATCATTGTTGGTTTAGTTTAAGTATCATTTTCTGGGATTAGTGCCTGATATTGAGCTGGTTAATGTAAGATTAAATGCGAAGATTTCAATCAGATTGTTCGGTTATGAAATATTATGCAGCACAGAAGTGCGCAGTTCAGATGTTATCTTTCTGTAATCCATTATTTGCTTTCTCTTCTCTCCCAATTTTTGCAGGAAGACATCTACATGTATGGAGGCAAAATTGAAACGAATAATGGCAACGTTACTGATGAGCTGTGGATTTTCAACATACCCAGTCAAACGTGGAGTACCAGAACTCCTGCGGTGCTTGTCCATGGCCAACAATACGCTGTGGAAGGGCACTCAGCACACATAGTAGAGCTGGACAGCAGAGATGTGGTTATGATTATAATTTTTGGATATTCTGCCATATATGGTTACACAAGCATTGTGCAAGAATACTACATCAGTAAGTCACTTTCAAGTAATTTTTGTTGTGCACAGATGTCTTGTTAAGCAGTAGCATTCCGTACGTGTGCGAAGTATAATGGCTTTGGCTGTTATTTTGGTGTTATTTTGGTGTTATTTTGTGTGTGTCTGTGGTATTCTAAAGGTGGTAAAGGCTGAAAGCAGAAGCTCTAAGCAGTGGTTATTGTTGTGATGAAACTTACTTTTTTTCTTGTTTTGTTTTGTTTGTTTGTTTTTTACCACAGACTTACTCTTTTTGCCAGAGAGTGGATAGGGTAAAGAAGAATAAGTAGAGCAGAAAAAAAGAAAGGGCAAAACAGAATACGATGAACAGTGCTTACTACAAGATTTTAGTTATTTTGAAGATTCTTTAATGTTGTAGTAGTACTTACATTCTGATTTTTGAAATTTAATACCTTGGTTCATCACTGTATATAGGCTTCTTTCTAAAGTGTTTGCATGTTGCTACTAGAGGAAATAAAAGGAGATGAACACGAATTTTTGTGAATAACCTGCCACCTGTGTCTGGGATTCACCTTGTGAACTCTAAGCTTTTCCTAGGAGTGGTTGCAAATGGTAGAGTTAAACCAAGATAAGCTTTGTTTTTTTTAAACCTACCCATGGTACATCCTACAGTACTATTTCGATAGTATAAATGTGAAAATCTACACCTTCTGATACAATTTCAGAAATATTTATATGCCCACTAATTCAAGTTATAATCTTCTGTTACTTCTTTTGATCCCTTGTTTTCTATAGAATTGATCCGAGTCCCACAGTTACGTAAGCTGTCACAGACTGCACAATACAAAATTTCAGTGTAATATATATGTATTAAGGTGTAATATTTTTTTTAATTGTTCCATTTAAATGTTTTTACATGTAGGAGTATGTATATAAACACTGGTTAAGCAGACTTATCTACTGGTGAAATCCCTTCAAAACTCGGGCGTTCTTATGCTTTCTCTTATAGAGGCATTGATATTCTATAACAATGTTGGAAAAAGATAGAAGAAAATGGGAATAACAGGAGGAGTGCCATGATATGCTTTATCCATACTGGAAAATTTGATTGAATGGCATAAAATTACTATAGAACTCTGGCCTTAGAATTGTGTTTCCCAACAATATTGTAAGATTTGTTAGGTATTAAAGCCCATTTATTTAAAAAATGATTTCTACTCTTTTTTTTTTTTTTAACTTACAAGAGAGAATTTTTTTTCTTGAAGACAGAAGTATATTGTTCTAGTTTTCTGCAGGCTCATTTACTGTAGTGTCTATTGGAACTTTGATATATTTGCTGCTTATTTAGTCTGGAGTAGGATATTAATTTCACCTATTATTGTCATTAGTTTAATTACGAAGAGGTGTACACGCTTCACTTAGGAGTGTAAAATTTTCTGTCTGACGGATTTAATTGCTGGCCTTATAGTTGAAATGTACGATTTTTTCCTATATATTTTTTTAATGTTGAAACTATGGTGGAGAATTGATAAAACAGACTATAACTAAGCATATATAAAACAAACAAAAAATCCCAAGCCTTTCATACCGTGGTGATAAGCTGTGAGTAGGAGAAAGCATTTACTGCTCTGGCAGTTATTATGGGTCTCATTTATTCTCAAGTTTTTTGTGTCCCCTTTCTGCAATGATAGTTTTATCCCATATTAGTGAGAAATTTAGTTTTTTACAGAAAATACACTTCACTTGCATCAAATATAAAGTAAACTTGTAATAATACAGGATATTAATGTGGAAACCCATAGATTTCATGGAATTTACTTGTATGATGGATTATTGATACAAACAGTGCGTTGCAGAACATGGTCCACTTCTGCTGGGGGTAACTCTTATGTTTCATTTTACCTCATTGCGTCTCTCTCCTCCCCCTCCCCTCTAAGTTAAATGAATTTTGTGGCAAATTTTCCCAAATTCTATGCCAGCTTCAGCTTTTATCTACAGTTTTGGAGCTGTAGGATCATTTTAAACTGTAAAATTCCAGATGATTGTTTAAACTAAGAATGACTGGTTTTTTTGGACTTCAGCAATGCAGAATCCAAACTTGAAAGACAAAGGAAGTGATTCAAGTATTGCTGTGAAGCCACCTGAATAGGAAAGAAAATTAGTTATAAAAAAGGGCTTCTGATGTTATGGAAAGAAAAGTTAAGAGTCCAGTTTCCTCTCTTTCTGCTTGCTTTTAAGGCATACATTGCCTTAACAGTTCAAATTGTGCTGTTCTTTCTAAATGTTATCAGCTATGGATTTTTGTCCTAATGAAGGCTATTTTTCAAGAATTTACCAGGTGGTTACTGAAAGAAAAAGGTATAGAAACAGGCAACTTACCCTTTAGTTCATATGGATTGAAATCTCTAACGATCCAGTCCTACTAATGATCTTTGATATACTTGATACACAGAATTCTGGTGCTAAAGCCTTCTTCAGTTACTGTGACCCTGATTTCCATGGAGTCTTGGTCAAGAAACATCTAAAGAAGTTGTAATTATTTGTGAATTCCTTAGCTTTTCACATAGGTGTGTTCTTATTAAAAAACCACATGAATCAAATGTGTGCATGGTCTGAAATCTCTCTGACATTGTCCGATTAGTGAAGAAAGTGATTTCTGTCAAAGACAAATTCTGGAAAAAAAATGGATGTGGATTTCAGGTAGATTTTCACCATGCAAAAGCACAGGAATTCATTTCTACTCCAAAGGTATGGTGGTTGTTGCAGGAACAAAGGAGCTTCCTGTTGTCCTTACTTGCTCTACCTAGACTTACGACTCTTGGGGTACCAATAAATCCTGGTGTGGGAATTATGTGAATGATTTTACTAACTTGAACCATAAAGCTTTTCTGGGTTACTCCCCAGGGAAATTTATTTCCCTTTAGGTTAGCAATACCTCATAAACCGTCCAAGGATCTCAATGTGAGTCTCAAGGTGAACATAATAGTGGTGTTTTGTTTTAGCTGAGGTTTATAAAAGCCCCTTATATATTAAGAAACTCTGAATAAGTCTTCTGCAGTTTTATTTTTCAGAATAAAAAGATTTGTTTGAATCAGCAGCTTATCACTTTGTTTTTTAGGCTGATTTGTTTTGTGATGTTAGAAGTAGGTTATGGGTTACTTTGAATTGAAAATGTTCCTTTGAAATACTGTTAAAAGGAATGACCCTCTGATATAACATGTGTTTCCTCTTTATTGTAAGTTAGCCTAAGCTTCATGGTTGCTTAAAAATTTGGAGAGTTTGTCACTGTAATGAAATGACAATGGCACACTGTGGTTCTTCTTGGACATTTTATTTTTTTAATGTGATCTGTTTGGAGGTTGTATTTTCAGGCCAATGTATCTACATTTCCTTGGATTATTTTTTTTTTTAGTGGATTTATTACTGCATTTTTTTTAAAAACATCTTTTCAGAAACAACTTTATCTCGCAATGCTATTTATTATTCTATTCTGAATGATAAAATGGTTATTGGCCAAATTTGCAGTTTTTCTTGATTTGGCCCTCCTAATTGGTTTCACAGAAAGAAATGAACTGAAAAAAGATTAAGGTTTTGTCTCTTATTTCACTTGCCAAGCATTCTTTGGTGATGGAATGGTGTTACATCTTTGGATGTGATTAACTTCCTGTGAGCAAAAGGCTGGAATTTACCACCTTGGTCCTTAAGATCAGTGCTTTTATTTGAAAACAGCGTATTTTATAATTTCTGTCAAAAAATACATGAGGATTAATTTGAAGCGGTTTAAGTTTTGTTCATAGTGTTATAATCTTAGTGACTCGGCATCATCTAATTCATAGCCTACCTTTTTTCTGGGTAATACATTGTTTAATGTATACAGCCAGTCTCTCATCCTGGAATTCTTTTGGAATTATATTTATAGATACCAGTCCTCCCTTTTGCAAGACTAATTAAGACAACATCATCTGTTCTGCTCCAATTTTAGTAGTTCATCTCTATACCTTTCCTACAAGGAGTTCATCTCTCTTGAACATGGATGATTAGAAAAGCCTTTGTGATATTCTAGGTGAGATTTCACCGGTGCCAGGCTAAATAACCTTAATCCTACTTTATTGAAACACCTCACTATGTATGCAGTGAAATGAGGGGTGTACTGCATCCATCTGAAAGTCATTAGTGGCTCATAGACTTTCTCTGATGAGAAGCAGTGCTCCTACTCACTCTTCGCGGTAGTTATCAGCTGATGAGCTTGCCTTTTATAGAAGTTCGTGTTGCTAATCCCAGCGCACAATGCCTTTAAATTATGGTTGAATTTTGATCCATTTTTTCAGGTAGCCAAGATCATCCAGTTCATTCTGCATGTTTTTCTGCTGCTTCTGTGAATTGATAGTGTCTAAATTTATGCAGTTATTACACCTTAAAATTGTGAGTGTCATAAAATGCACCCATTCTGATCCTTAAGAAATCTCCCTAATAATCCCAGTGCCCCTCAACATCGTTCATTGCTGCTGCTGGTTCAGGGACCAAATCCTGTTCTGTTATAATGGTTTATCTACTGATTTCCCACCGTGACACTATGTCACGGACATTAATGAAGCCCAGATATTGAGAACACCTACTTTTCCTTCTGTGTAAGTAATTGTTTTTTAAGTAAATGTGATGTAACTAGTTTGTTACTTTTATATTGTCCAGTGAAACAGCTTCCCGTTATTTCAATTTTTTTATTTTTTTTTTTTAAAAAAACACCCTTTGTTCTAAATCTTTGCATATTACTGAGGTGAGATTAAGCTCTGCAATTACCCAGGTTATGTCTCTCCTCTCTCTGTCTTTAATGCCAGCACTATGGTTGCTGTTCTTTGATAATATCTAAATAGCTTTGTTTAAAATGCTTATTGCTGGACCTGCGGTTTCACTTGCTATGTCTGTCAGAATTTCAGACTGGTGTTATGCCTCCATCCTCAGTACATTACATTAGTGAGTTTAGCTTCTCTTTCAGCTGTAACTTCTTCTTCTTTTTATATGTTTTTGAAGATGCCTTTCCAGTGTCCTGGAAATGGTCGTGGTAAAGCTGGACATGAAGTGCGTGG